GTTTTCATGTCTTGGCTATTGTAAATAATGCTGTAGTAAACATAGGGATACATATATTTTTATGAATTAGTGCTTTTATATTTTTCATGTAAATACCCAGAAGAGGAATTGCTGGGTCATATGATAGTTCTATTCTTAATTTTTAAAAGAATCTCTATACTGTTTTCCATAGTGGCTGCACCAATTTACATTCCCACCAACAGTGTACAAGGGTTTCTTTTCTCCGTATCTTCTCCAACGCTTACTATTTCTTGCCTTTTTTAAAATAGCCATTCTAGCAGGTATGAGGTGGTTTTGATTTGCATTTCTCTAATAACTAGTGATGTTGAATATATTTTCATGTCTGTTGGCCATCTGTATGTCTTCCTTGGGAAAATGCTGTTCAGATCCTCTGCCCATTTTTTAATCCGATTTTTTGTGTTGTTTGTTGTTGTTGTTATTGAGTTTTATGAGTTCTTTATATATTTCGGATTTTAATCCCTAATCCGACGCGTCATTTGTAAATATCTTTTCCATTTGGTGGTTGCCTTTTTGTTTTGCTGATGGTTTCTTTTGCTGTGCAGAAGCTGTTTAGTTTGCTGTAGCCCCAACTGTTTATTTCTGCTTTTGTTTTCCTTGCCTTTGGAGTCAAATTCACAAAAAACATCTCAGATCAATGTCTGGGAACTTAGTTTTTTTTCCATGTATTTTATTGTTTCGGGCCTTAGATTCAAGTCTTTATTCAATTTTAAGTAATTTTTGTGTATGATGTAAGATAGTGGTCTAGTTTCATTCTTTTGCATATGGCTGTCCAGTTTTCCCAGCACTGTTTATTGAAAAGACTTTCTCCATTGTATATTTTTGGCTCCTTTGTTATAAATTAGTTGCCCGTGCATATGTAGGTTTATTTTGGGGCTCTCAATTCTGTTCCATTGGTCTGTATACCTATTTTTCTGCCAATACTATATCATTTTGGTTACTATAGCTCTGTAGTAAAGTTTGGAGTTGAGGAATGTGATTTGTTTATTATTTCTAGTAGTTTGTTGGTGGAGTCTTTAGGGTTTTCGATATATGTAATCATGTCATTTCAATTAGTGACAGTTTTCCTTCTTTCCTTTGAATTTGGATGTCTTTAATTTTTTTCTGCCTTTTTGCTCTGGCTAGGACTTCTAATACTATGTTGAATAATAGGTAAGGTGGGTATCTTGTCTGTTCCTAATCTTAAAGGAAGAGCTTTCAACTTATCATTGAGTATGATTTTAGCTGTGGGTTTATCTTATTGGCCTTTATTATGTTGAGGTACTTCCTCCTATACTCATTTTTTTAGGGTTGTTTTTTTTCATAAGTATATATTATAACTTGTCAGATGCTTTTTCTGCATCTCTTGAGGTAATTACATGATTTTTTTTTTATATTTAGAATTAGGCAGCTGGACTCAGTTTAGATGATCCCAATTTTGTTGGCAACACCCAAAGCATTAGAGTCAGGAGCCAGTCGAACATATGCCGCCTTCTCTCCATCAGGCCTGATCAGTGTGTTGACGTTGGCCACAACAATGTCATAGAGCTTCTTCACAGCCTGTTTGATTTGGTGCTTATTGGCCTTGACGTCGGCAATGAACACAAGTGTAGTATTGTCTTCTATCTTCTCCATGGCTGACTCGGTAGTCGGGGGAGTTTGATGATGGTATAGTGGTCAAGCTTGTTTCTCCTGGGTGCGTTCTTCCGAGAATATTTAGGCTGCCTTCGGAGCCTCAGTGTCTTTGGCTGTCGGAAGATGGGTGACGTGCAGATCTTTTGTCTGTGGCTGTGGACACCTTTCAACACTGCTTTCTTTGCCTCCAAAGCCTTTGCTTTGGGAGGGGCAGGGGCTTCCTTCTTAGCTTTCGATGCCATCTTCATAAAAAGGAATTAAGTGATTTAAAAAAAATACATATTTTATTATATTTTACAGAGAGGAAGGGAGAGGGATAGAGAGTTAGAAACATCGATGAGAGAGAACCATCGATCAACTGCCTCCTGCACACTCCCCACTGGGCATGTGCCCACAACCAAGGTTGCCCTTGACCGGAATCAAACCTGGGACCCTTGAGTCCGCAGGCCGATGCTCTATCCACTGAGCCAAACCGGTTAGGGCAGAATTATGTGATTTTTATCCTTCATTTTGTTAATGTGGTATATCACATTGATTAATTTGCGGCTGTTGAACCATCCTTGCACCCCTGGAATGAATCCCAGTTGATCATGGGATATGATGGTATAGATGTTTAACTTGCTGTAGATGTAAGGGAATATGCAAAGTGGTCTTCTCACTTTTCCATGATGCTGACCTGGCTTATGTTTTTTTTTTTTATTAGCAATGTGAACTTTGGGCTAATGACAACTTCTCTGGACTGTAGTTTCTTCACTTATAAAGTGGGGATATAATACTTGTCTCATAAGACTGTTGTGAGAATTAGATGAGATAATGTAAATTATTAGCACATAGTAAGTGCCTGGTAAATGTCTTTTGCCAGATTTCTGCTACCTCCCCCTGGCACCAATTTTAAATCTTTTGGGCTGCTTATAGACATTATTTGTACTGGGTTGGGGTGGAATCTCACTAGAATCATGTCACTCTTTCTTCCTTTGTATAGGCAGAAAAAGAAGACACTGTAGGTATGCTGCCTTCAGATCTAGAACACTTAACTTCTAGAACAACGGTTTTTCCAAAGACTTTGAATGCTGCTATTGGAAGTGCTTGGTCACCTTCTTCCCAGAAGCTTGATGATGGAATACAAGACAGAGAGAATCAGAATCAATTAATACAACACGCCCTGGCTGTAAGTACATATTTATTTTATATCTACAATTTTTTCTAGATGTATGACATATTAGGATATGAAATAGAGGTTAGGAGGTATCACATTCAACTTTACTTTTTCTCACCTTTTTAAAAATCTTTAAAAAGTGGGAAATAGTGGGATGATGTTTATTTTTAATATATGTTAAAAAATATTATATTTGTTTTTGGTAACACAATTTAGAACAGCCGTGGGCAAACTACGGCCTGTGGCCAGACCCGGCCGTTTGAAATGAATAAAACTAAAAAAAAAAAAAAAAAAAAAGACCGTACCCTTTTATGTAATGATGTTTACTTTGAATTTATATTAGTTCACTCAAACACTCCATCCATGCTTTTGTTCCGGCCCTCCCGGCCAGTTTAAGAACCCATTGTGGCCCTCAAGTCAAAAAGTTTGCCCACCCCTGCAATAGACACTTTTTAAAGTTTACCGTTTCTGTTGCAGTTCTTATCCACTAGATGTCACTAAGAGCTAGACAGTGAGACTGTTCAAGCACAGCCGCCTTTAGTTTATCTAGAACTGGTTGAGTAAATAGTGATGTAATTCTCTTTCTGGATGTAAGTGTATTTTTCAATTTTCTTGTGATATAAGGATGAAATAGTTTGATAGTTTGACATCTGGGATGTATTTCAAAATAATGTAAGGGTGAGGTGAAGTAGGGGGTTATAAATAAAACAAGATTAGCCAAGGGTTATAGTATTCTGTCTACTTCTATATGTGTTTGAAGTTTCTAATATATTTGAATTTATTTACATTTTACATTAAATGTTAGAGAAGAAAAGATATTATCTAGTCTAACCTTTCTCTCTCTAAGGAATTCTTTTTATAGTGTTTCAAGTATACATATGGCCCTCTAATTTCTGCTAGAACATTGCCACTGTTGATCAACTCACTTTTTAGACTTTAATTTTTATAAGGTTTAAAATAATTACAAATATTTTTTCAATATATTGAGTAAAAATCTATAACTTTTACTCTGGGTCTAGTTTTGTACACTCAAGTTATAGGGGAGCTCTAAGAACATATCAAGTATTTGATTATAGCTATCATTTTTCTCCTTTTGGATTTTTACATTCCTTGATTCTACTAGCTTTTGATGTCTGCTGGCATTCCTTTGCTTGTGGCCACATCATACCAATCTCTGCCTCTGTCTTCACATCACCTTCTCTCCTATGGGTCAAATCTTCCTCTATCTCTTATAAGGATACTAGTGACCTGGCATGCGAAATTGCGTGGC